ACAACTAGTGGTATGCGCAGCAAGACAACAAGAATACCATAAATATCACTCAACAATTAATACATTGAAAAAAAAAAAAAAAAAAAAAAAAAGGTATATCACATCTTGAGAGTTTGAGAGAGAGGGAAAACTTTTTATCTGGATAACTTGTTCATGAACCATGGGATCCTTGTATGGTGGATTCACACATAAATTGGAAGTCCTAAAGAGTTAAAGGTCCCAATTGACTTATTTGAAACCCAACATAATTTGGATTTTGGGAACAAAGATTTACAAGCTCGTCTACAATTCACTCGAAGCTAAATCTGGCCAGACTTCCGACGGGAACTCCTCCGTTCTCTCAAACTCTCCTCGATGGAGAGTCACAGTATCAGTAACTGTGACTCAGTAGACGACGTCGTTTCGCAGTTACCACTTCAGCTGATCAAATCGGAGATCATACCTCCGGCACCGAACCGATCAAAATCTCCATCCGAATTCGAGCCAGCAATTGACTGGCAGCCGAACTTCGTTGGCTACTCATGGATCGCCTACGGTGCCTCGTCTCTCCTCGTCATACGTCAATTCCCTAACCCTCTCTCACAAACTGAGACTGTAACAGGCACAGTTTTTCAGCAGGTTCTCGAGCTGTCAATCGACGGCTCTGGCACTGTCTCCGCCGTCGCTTGGTCTCCAGTGACGCCTTCTTCTGGAGACCTTGCCGCCGCACTTGATAACTGCATTGGATTGTTCTCTTACAATTCTGACGCTTCTCATAGTAAGTTTCAGTTTTCTGATCTCGCTCTCGAATGTATATACTAATATGCTATGTCGTTGATTGCTTTGTTACACTTTATTAATCTAATAAAGGAACGATCTTTTTCCTTTCTTTACCTATCCAGCACTGTCTTGTTGCCTTTTTGAATAACAGCGTTACTTACTTATCTAAAATTGTGTATACTAGTCTGGTACAAGTTCGTTGCTTTTGTTTTGATGAATATTTAAGATATATCCCCTGTAATTTGATACAAAACTGCTGTCATTCTGGATCTCCGGATCAAGCAATATGAGTGGTACAGTCAATGCACGAGTTGCAGTGTAATGCATTGGAGAATGGCCATACTATTTTTACTTTAGGAGCAAATGTTTTGGCTTGTTGTCCTCTGGCATCAATTTAAGTTACCTGTATTATGGTCCTTGGGTTGGAGTTGTAGAAGACAATTCTCTGATCACAACGCAAAACTGACTAGAGAACTAGAGAGTAAAAGTCAATAAATTTAATCAACCACGTCTCAATCACAAGTTAGTTAGGGTGGGCTTACTGAAATCCTTGTGTTCATTTTGCTTTATTTTAGCCTATTTCATTTCAACAGTCCAACACTGAATTATTTAAGGCCAATTAGGGGTTCTTGCAAATTAGAGGTTAAAGCTAGATGAAAATCAATGCCTAATAAGAATGGCTCAGTGGGATGTCCAACTTGGTGAAAGGGTGCTTTTTTCTTTAGTAGGTTACATAGTTAGAGCCGTGTATCATCTAAATGTACTTGGAAATAAAAAGAATACTCTTGCATTAGTTGGATCCTATGCGCTAAACTCAAAAGCTCATTAGGAGGTGATCTGGTTCTGACTGGATATGAATATGGGAACTTTAAGCAATTGTTTTGCTAACATAAATTACTACTATTGGTTAATTGGATATTAAATCTCTCTCTCTCTCCCCTCCCTTCCATCCCTCTTAGATGTATAAATTTATTTACTCATATTCAGGTTCTTTTTGTTGGAGCCAGACCTCAACACTAGTACAATCTACAAAGGTGGAGTCAATCACATGGACGGGATCAGGAGATGGGATAGTTTCAGGTGGCATTGAATTGATATTGTGGAGAAAGAAGGAGAGGTCATGGGAAATGGCTTGGAGATTTAAATCAGAACTGCCTCAGACTCTGATTTCTGCTACTTGGTCAATTGAAGGACCTTTGGCTGCTGCACCTTCACATAGTTTGCACTTTGAAGGTTCGGGTTCTCGAATACATGCAGGACACAAATGTGTTTTGGTATGTCAAAGAGATGCAAACGCCGGACATTTAGAAGCTATGCTACACCATCCGTTACCAGTTTCTATGATTCAGTGGAGACCATCTTTAGTTACACAGTCAACTAGAGATGGCAGCTATTCTAGGAGGTTGGTTTTATTAACATGCTGTTTAGATGGAGCTGTAAGGCTCTGGAATGAGATTGATGATGGGAGGGTTAGAAAAGTTGGCAAGGATAGTAATGATCACAAACTGAGTAAATTCTCTTTTCGTGTTGTCGCTGTAGTTGAGGTAAACCAAGCATTAAATGGAATGCTGGGCTTGGATGTGTCTGTAAGATGGGCAACAGATATTAATGGTATAATAACTGTCAATGGGGAAGCTGTGACATATTCCTCATCAGATGAACACCAACAAAGCAATGCTGGTAGGTGTGAATGGTTGATTGCCGTAGGTCCTCAAACGACACTGACCTTTTGGGCTATTCATTGTCTTGATGATTTTTCTCCAGTGAGAGCCCCAAGGGTGACATTGTGGAAAAGAAAAGAGTCGAACAGTCCTAACGAGGTGCCGAGGGGATTGCTCTTAAATAAAGTCCTTATTATGAGAAATCAGGTCTTTGGTCCACCAACAGTGTGTTCTTTTATTAGTCTATTACCAAGTAACTCTCTAGCCTGGACGCAGTTATACTCTTCAAAATTCCCCAAAGGTGAAGAGGTATCTTCAGAACTGAGTAGCACAGACGAGTCGCCTCCAAATAAATGTCAGACTGAATGTTTACTATCATTATGTGCAAGGGGACTTTCAAATGCAGACAGTCACTGCAGTAAAATTCTGCAAGTTGCAATTCATCCTTGTTTATCTGAGTTGGAATTTGCTGCCTCCCTGGACACTGATGGAAAGCTCCTCTTTTGGTTGTTTTCTTCTGCTTCAAATACTATTGTGGGCCTCCCAACTTTGAGCCCATCTTGGGAGCTGTTTGGAAAAGGCGCGATTGCACTCCCTCAACAACCCAAGTATACAAGCTTAAGATGGGCACCCACTCTGTTAAGTGAAGAACGTATTCTTATCATTGGACATGCAGATGGAATAGATTTATCAGTAGTTAAGGCTGTGAAAACTGAAGAATTGGAAATAGTTTGTGACAAAATATGTACTATACCACTTACCGCTGGAAGTCATGGACAGGGGCCGGATAGCGTCTTTTCAATTCCGTTGCCTTCCACTTGTAACAAAACTATTATAAATAGCTTTTTGCTGTTTGCTGTGTGGGAAAAAGGCTTTCAGGCATTATCGTGGAAAATTGACCTTCATCACTATGATTTGTCTGAAACACGCTGTGGTTGCAGTTTTGACAGTGCAAACACCTTGCAGAACAATATATGGAAATTTGAGAGTAGTTATTCTGGTTATACATACCTTGTTTCTGTTGAACCTTGTTCATCAGTTTTGCCAGAACCTCATGACAATAATAAGATTTCAAGTTATGCTGTGATCTGTCCCACAAACTCTGGTTTAACTGAAGAAATTTTTGCTAATAATTTATATAGCAACTACTTTGCTTATCATATGGTCACTGGTTGTCTTGATGGTAGCTTGCTATTATGGAGAAGTGTGCCTGCTGGGAGCTCGAATTCTCAATGGTTTCTTGTTGGTAGGATTGCTTTGCAGCAGGGTCCTATTTTGGCTATATCTGCAAGTGTCTGTGGCAGAAAAATTGCAACTATCTCAAAAGGTCACTTAAGTACTTCTGCTATTCATATATGGGAATGTGCGCGAATTGAGGACGCTGGCAGCTTTATACTAGAAGACACTTTATATTTTGATGCAGAGGTTGTTGCTTCAAATTGGTTGACGATAGGGAATGGTCAGTTTTTACTTGGAGTTTGCTCAAGAGGTAAGGTGCAGGTTTATACTCAAAAGCGGTGTGGAGGTCAATGCAATTTGGAACCGGAAAAATCATTTGAAGGCAACATCTGGGTATGTCTTGCAGCAAGTGATACTAACCCTACCATTCAAGACTTCTTTTGGGGACCCAAAGCCATGATAGTGGTTGTTCATGATGAATATATTTCTCTATTTAGCAAGTTCTCATACTTTATGAACAAGAAACTTCTGCCCCAACTTGGTGGAAAAGTTTGCAAGGAAAGTTCTGTCTGTCACTATGGTTCTAATAAAGTGCCAATATTTTATGGTCATGAAAATTATGATTATGCACAGTATCAGGCTAATTTCCCCTTGAAAATGGAAGTGGTCAATGAGACTTCACTGTTTAGTAGCTTGACAAAATCTAAAGAAGGCTTTACTTCTGTTAAAAATGGGATCTGGAGCATTTTAGAGATAGCAGAACTTGTAGGGGGATCTCTTCCTCTTGTTCACCCGGAGGCAATTCTTGTAAACTTACTTTCAGGTATTTATGAATTGGTTGATGCTCTTTCCGCTTCCCCCACTCCCTAACTCAAATACCCAAGTCCTCTTCTTCTTTAATGGAAGACATTTTAATACGATTTAGGCAAAACATTTGTTGTGTTCTTACGAATTAATTTGTGGTTGGCTGCTTTAAGGAACTTACATGTGCATCTAGGAAGTAAATTCTATTATATCTGAACTTCTAAACCAAATAATTAGCAGATTCTTGACAAACTAAAAACTGAAGTGCACTCTTTTCTCTTCAGCTAGTAAAGTCAAATATTTCTTGTATAAGCATACAATTTGAACAAATTTCTCCAACGTTAATCTACTTTTCGTGATACTTATAGGCTCCGAATTTTGTCTCTCATCAGCAGAAATTGTCTTGTAATAATCATCCCGTTTTGACCAATGGATCTTATTGTTTATCTTATTATACTTTCCTTTGAACTAGGTAACATATGTCCGTGTCCTGCTTGCCTTACAAATGAACAGGTTTATTGTCCAATTAATATTTTTCTATGATGGTATCCTATGTGCTCTCTTTGAAAACCAAATATCTTAGTTTTGTGTAAAAGTTAAGTTTCTGAAAGTAATGACACATGGACTTTTATTTTAAAGTTAAAATCTTGTTTCTCGACTGTTTTCTGAAGAATTGATTTGCTCTGGGGAAAAAAAGTTTAAAAAAAGGCGGTAAAGGTGCATTTTTTGAGAGAAGGGTAAATCTATTAATAGATAATAGTAAAGATGCATTTTTAAGTTGGTTTTGCCGTTTTGGTTAAATACTAGTTAAATGCCTCGAGTATCGTCCTTAGGAGGACAAGAAGTCACTTGATGAGCTCGTTAGGGATAAATAAACTAGGAGGAGAAATTTAATTTATTGTTGTTTGGTTTTAATACGTACTATCTGGCCCTCCTGATGTGGGAAGATCAGAATTTCTTTGTGATTTATACCTCATTCTTAGCTTTTTGTCCTATTGTAAGACGTGACAGAGTTCAGCAGCAATGCTATTCTTTAGTTATGGCAACTGGTATTCCATCTTTCCTGCTGCCAAAACCTGGTCTTATGAAGTAAAGAAAACTTGATAAGGAATTGAGCTTGTTTTTTAAGTTTATTACTTGTCTTCATTTTTAATTCTTAGGCTCTCCTAGTGAACTCACGATGGTGATATTCAGTGTTGAGAATTTAAACCAAAGCTGGTTAAAATACATTAAACTTTGTTAAATTGTTTCAGCTGTGTGCAATTTGGTTCTTCAGCATGAATGAATTGATGCCCAGCCATAATTATGAGGTTGTGAAAGTCAGGAACATGCCTAAATAGGAGCATCTAATGCTTACTGCTGCCAAAATTGATTTAGATTTATATTGGGCTGTTTGACTTATAAAAGTGCTCTTCCGAATAAGTGGAACGTTCTAATATTTGTACATTTTTGGAGCACTTTTGAGATCCCAACTACCCTAGTTGATTGGATGCTCTTCATGGAGAAGCAGGTGACACTTAATGCTCTTTTGGTTTCACTAATGCAACATTTAATGGTACTTCTTTAACAAATGCGAAAATGAGTATTAGTAATATTTGGATAGGAGTACCTAAATTAACAAAACTCCCCTTAAAGTAAGGTGATTTATTATAGTAAATAAGATAAAACTTTTTATTTTACAAAACTAATATTCATGATAATTTCAGATATTCTTAGTAAATCTTTAATATATATAAAAAATTAAAGCAAAGCCTGTACAATCATACTAATTATACAACTAGTATTTGACCTTGGTAATGCAATTCCTACCTAAAAAACCTTGCATTATTTTTCACTGCATAACAATCTTCATATTTTTATCCCTGTAACTTACGCCATGAACCTAATGACCCACGAAAGTTTTTTTGTACAAGGTAAATAATCCCATAAAGTTTCCTTAAAATCAGAAAGCAATCGTGTTCATTTGCTCCGGGAGATGTTGGCTCAGACTTGCTTTCAGGAAACATTTGTATGATTGCAAAGTACGGGAAACTTTTTATCTTCTACCCACATCATTTGCCTGTACTGGGTTTTGTTTCTCTATTTGTTATTCTTGGATGTAACTATCCTCTAAATCCTTACCCTGTCGGTTGTGTATTGAATATTTTGTTGTACCTTCTTTTTCAGCTTTATGTTTTACTTGTCTGAAAATACTGCCAGGTTTGTGTGTCATCAGAAGATTGTTGCCAATTTGTTTCTCATCTGCTTATGTTGCCACTCATGAAATTCCAGTCATTTTACTTAGACTTATAATACTTGCTAATTTGAGTTTGACCTTAGGGTTGTGCGTTCCAAATGTGTATAGGTAATTGGAAACGTGCATATGTAGCTCTGCAGTGTCTCAGTAAACACGTAGCTTCCTCAAAGTTATCGGCGGAAATATGCTGCCTTCGAGCCTTCAGTGGTTTAATATTTCCCATTTCGTTGTCAAACTATCTTGAAGGACATGTCTTGTTAAGCACTGGGGAGAAGTCATTTCAGTGGGGTGGACCTTCAGAGGTTCAAAAAGGTTTCCTCCAAGCTTCCTCAAGCTGGGGATATGCTGCATCTGATAATGCGCTCTCTATCTCTCNATCTGATTCTATCTCTTCTGCAAGATCTGAAATTACTGACTTTCTAGAAGCCTTTGATAAACTTCATAATTTTGCAACTATATCTTCCACTGAAATGATGCAAATTCGTGCTGCTATTCATCTTCTAGATGAAGTTAGCAATATGCAGTCAACTTCTGCCTATAATAGCCTTGATGGACCTGGTCGAAGGTAAATTCTATGTTAGAAGTCTAGAATAATTTATTTTCCATGCGTGTGAACGTATCTTCATGGCAATTGCCAAGTTTGTAAAGGCTCAAACATTCTTTTTATGATCAACCTTTATGTTAAGTTCTTGAGCTTCTGTGTTCTGTCAATTTTTGTGTATTGTGATAATCAACTAGAGAAGTGTAGTTTTTGGCAGACAAGAAAAACATATTCCAATTTTGCTTTAGATATAGACACTAAGTTTTGAAGTGGGTGAAGAACCGTAAGGTCTTACGTCCGAATCTCAGTGGAGACAAAATACACTAGGTGATTTCTTCCCATCAGCCTAAGCCTTGGTGGGAGAGTTACCTGGTACATGTGCTAGTGGGAGGTAGCAGGTAGAATAGTCGAGGTGTACACAAGCTGGTCCGGACACCACTGTCATAAAGAAATAGACACTAAAAGTTTCAATGAGAGTATTGCATCACTCTTCCCTATGCTTGGGATTAGAGTAGAGTTGGCAAAATCTGTAAATGGTGATATAAATGGATAACACAACCCCCCCCCCCCCCCCCCCCCCACACACACACACACACACAAGGCTCAGAATTTTTGTGGGTATTATTCAGCTATAGTTGCTTCTAATTAAATTATCATTCATTGATGCTACTTGTCTTTTCTTCCTAGGTTTTGGGTTTCAGTGAGGTTTCAGCAGCTATATTTTGTTCAACGATTTCGCAGACTGCCATCAGAAGGTGAGCTGGTTGTATACTCGGGGCTGATTGGATGGGCTTTCCATTCTGATTGCCAAGAGAATTTGTTTGATTCTCTGTTATCTAAGGAACCATCTTGGCAAGAAATGCGCGATATGGGTGTTGGATTATGGTATACAAGTATGGCACAACTGCGAGTGAAGGTACTTTTTTTTCCATTAAGATTTTGAATTTGGTTGTAGCATGACAAATGAGGTTTTGGGAAAGTGAGTTATCCACCACTAGAGCAAGTGGGAAAGTGAAACTGTTGACTCCTGGAGGGGGATTTGGGGTTAGGATTTACGATATAAAACAAATCAGCTGTATAATTTGGTTATTTTTTGGGAGGTACTGTGTAGTTGTATATTCTGTAAACAATTCAACATCTCCAAGCCAACATCCTGATGTAGACTACCAATATGCAGTTTTAGGGACTAAAGTGGTCCAAGTATATTGCCCTACAAGTCTACATTTCTTAATGTTCCCGCCCTTCTCAAACTAGTCTACCCAATTTTGAATCCTTCCTCTTTCGCTGTTCAAGAATGAGACTTTGAAGATTAAATTTTCTTTTTTGTGTTTATCATTTGCCTGTCCATGCTCTTCCTATTTTATCAAGCGTACAATTCTTTACCTTCATTATCAATTATTAATGTAACAAAAATAATGATGATATGTCTTTTATTTTCTTGATAAGTAATTAAAGATTTCATAAATTTATGCACTAAGCCAGTGCATCAGGCATAATTACAGGTTGTGCAAACCCTCTATTGTGTCTAGCATTCCATCTACATCATGTTCAATTACCAAATTGCACCAAAAAGCTA